AGTTGTTTTGATGTGTTGGAATTTGGTGCGAAAGTGGGGTCTCTTATGCTACGGGCATGGTTATCGAACTTCGTGCTGAGCTTGAGTGTGCTAGATTACTTGTGTTTCACCATGATTGCTTTTGGTGATGCGAGTGCTGTTGTTAAATTTCTGATTTCTTATATATAGGAAGTGTGTAGGGTTTGATAATGCGTTGATTGTTTCATATGTCAATTGATTGTTATCTTTATTGTCAGCTGTGATGCTGATGTGTTTAGGTAGAACTGCATTTGCCTGGTTAATTGTTGGTTACATTGTTTTCTGATGGTCTGATTGATTTGTTAGTGGCCGTATATTTCATTTGCTATTGCGGTGGCCTTTGGTCTATATGATAGTTGCAAGAAATTATTTCCAGCTGCGGACTAACTCAGCATATTTTGGAACCTATGAATGACATAATGTGGGATTGTGGTGATTTAGTGTAAGGGAGTTCAAATTAATTGGGTCATCATGTTGGTAATATTGGGTGACCTGGCGCTAAATGCCTGTTGATTGCTGCATGGACACAATTTCTTATTCTGATCACAACTCACGGGCTCGAAATCTTCTGCTTATGGCTGCCATAGCTGGGATTGAACCTCTATTGCGTATCCAACATTTACATGGCTAGGATCTTGTAATATAATTTGATGCATACATTGGTTGGATTACTGAGATATTTGATCATCTCAAACATTACTATCCTCTCATTGCGGCTTCTACAGACGCCTTGGACAAGGCAATTTGACCTACCAATTCGTAGACAGTATCGTGAAGATCGGGTTTTCGGTGGTTGTTAATATCATGTATGCGAACCACATATCCTGTATTTGTGACTTGTCAGTACATTCCATGGCCTGTGCGAAATGTGTGACTTACTATCTGAGGCAGGTGTACCTGATACTTGCTCCAACAAAAAGACAGTACACTCAGGTGAGGGCGAGTTGGGGTCATTGATATTGAAGGCACAGTTCCGCCACATGTGCATGGTCATGCATTTTCCTGTCTCGAAGATTACCAGTTTGGTTGGTTTTACTTCTGCGCACATCAGGGGATTAGGCATGTTAGGATTGGTTGATGTGTGTGGAGTGATTGTCTTACCTTGCCACAAGTGTATACTTAAGGTTTCTAGGAACTCGATATCATCAAAAGGTGATTCTTCTATGTCTAACTGCCTTACGGTTGCCATGATGTGGCGCGTATATTGCTGCGTAGATTTCTTATTGCTGAATATGTAGCTAATTTGTATTTTGGTTGTATGATTTGTTTGGTGTATGAAGCTGCTTTTTCCCATTTGTTGGCCGGGTATAGTGTTGTTACCCAAAGCGTGTTTGTGGTCTTTTGGGTTTTGGGGCAAAGACTTAGTTCTTGGTTGGGGTATCATACCCCAGGGTTTTGGATGCTTATCCTTGGATATACATAGACCAATTTACTTGTTTTCAGCAGCGCGCACGGAGGCATACATTAGGCAGGGGGATCATGGGATTGGGTCAATTTGTCAGTGCATTGCTTATGTTGCTTGATTTGGTGACCAGGCAAATATATTACGTTATTGATTATGTCATACCTTCTATCTCGCCGGTAAATCATCTGGGTTGAAGTTACGATTGAGGCGCGGGGTTGTGTATGATTGCTTTGTTATTTATTTAACTACATATGCTTTTGTTATTGGCCTTTGGCTTATCTGCGGTTGTATATATATATATATATTGTCTTGCCAATTTATGTCCATTTGATGGGATGTCGGGGGCGGCAGGCGTCAGTGCGTTTTTGTTCAAGTGATTGTTGCGACACGCAGCTGGTGATATCAAGATCACCTGTGTTTCTTTGTTCGTGTTTTCAGCCTGTTGCCTGAGCTGGTGTGTTCTTTTGTCTCCGATGTGGATGAACCAGTAATTCAAGGTTTTGTGGCCGTCTTCAATGCTTGGTTGATTTCGATATGCTTACGGATTGGGATAAACAGTGTTTCATGAAGGGCACATTCGGCCTGAAATGTACCTTTTTAGAACTTGTATATATATATGTTGTTGTGCGTTTAGGTTATGACCTGTTTGCATACCTTTTCTTTTGTGTCCAGTTGCTCTGGTTTGTGGATTTGATCACAGTTATATTTTGTTTGTGTAGTTGCGGTATATTTTTGCAATATGTTTTCAAATGTATTGAGTTGTCCTCTCATTCATGGCACATCCGGTCTCCCTGTAGAAGTAGTCGGTCTCATTATTGCTTATTATATGGAGGACACGGATTTTTTAGAACCATCCCTTATGAATAGTGCAAATCGCCGACTATTGTGTTCTGCTCCTTTGTGTCACTTACTCTCCTTGCGCTTATTGTCCAAGTCGTGGAACGATGCGATCATTCCATTTGTGTACAAGGATTTGTATTTGGCTACTCCGGCAATGTGTATGGGTATTTTGTTATCTTTTAACGGTTCACATCGTTTTGCTATTTTTTCTGGTTTGCGAAAGATTTGTTTGTCTGGGGTAGTGTTTGTGTCGGAATGTGTCAAACATGGTTCGTCACTTGGTGGCTCGAATGGGAATCAAGATGGTCGTTGTATTCCGGGTAATGTTACGAATCACTCAGCAATCGGAATGGATCTGGCAGCGGAGCTCATTGGTGTCTGTGGTGGTAGCTTGGAAGAATTAGATTTCATTTTCTTTCACTCAGTGGGTTTCTCTCCGGACTTGCGTGTTGCCATTGGTGGTATGGAAAAACTCAATGCACTGGGCATTGTCGGTGGGATGTTTCGTAATACGTGGAACAATTCAGATTCCTTGGTCTCTCTTCTCAATTCAACGGCTTCATTGGAATCTTTGTCAATCCGGTGTGCGTCCTTGGCCTGCTTAAAGTTGGACGTCGGCGCTCTACCGAATCTGGTG